GAGGGAAAGGAAAAGGGAAAGGGAAAGGGAAAGGGAAAGGAAAGGAAAGGAAAGGAAAGGAAAGGAAAGGAAAGGAAAGGAAAGGAAAGGAAAGGAAAGGAAAGGACACAAAAATGCTTACTCCTGAAGGCGTTTTTCCAGCACAAGTGCTGATGTGAGTTTTCTCCTCAGGTTGTTCAACTCGAGTTCTAGATCTTTGTTTTTGGATTCTGCCGCATACAGATGGGAAGTCAAGTCGTTTATGGCAGGAATAAAACTAAAGACAAAAGGCCTGGATAATCAGGATTTGTTTTTTATACTGAGAACTGCAATAGGTATTTAGCAACTGGTCACTACTAATGTGCTGAGGGGAATTTGGAATTTCTTGCAAAATTGGATAATCTCTTCAACTCATTCATACAGTTAGCAAGAAACATTTTAAAGACTAATATGTACTCCAAAATTATGGTAATAAAATCGGACATGATTCTTTTCCTCTATTTTTATTTTTTAAAGTACAAGCCACCCAGACTCCAAATGAGTCTGGCAGCCTCTAAACTGAAAGAAAGAAAGAAATTCTGTACCAGATCCTACAGCAGTTATTTAAATCTCTACAAAGGTTCAAAATTGGAACTGTAGATTTTTACGCGTTTGCAAACCAGTCTAGGAAACTGTCCTGCAGAGCATATCTATTTAAATAAATAGATAATAAATAAAATAAATAAAGGAACGCAGCTCTGTTTAAATTTTCCCTATCTAACCTCTCTCTCCGTAAAAACAATAATCATGAGGTGGCTGTAACTCCTCACTCAAAGCTGGCACTCGAGCGTTCAGAAGCGTCTTCTGAGGAGAGCTACACCACCTTGCAAGAGAAGTGTCCTTTGTTTCCAGAGCCAAGGCAATATCCACCAGGTTATTCAGGTAGCTCGTACTGGCTTTAGACAGGCTGTTGAGGGAAAGATGCAGACTCTCCATTAAAAGTTCCTGCAGGAAGAGGCCTGGGGAGGCAAATATAAGACAGCACGCGTTTTAAGGAAACCTTGCTGCCTAAACATGCTTGGCCCGAGGCTGACGCAGAAGCAGCGCTTGCATCTTTGCGCCTCATCTCACCGTCTGACTCGTACTCTGCCGCTTTCTGCTTCATGTCTTCAATTAACAAGCTGACATCTCCATCTCTGGACTCGCTGCGTTCTGCCAGCTCGTACAAAATATCCACCGTCCGTGCGTCCGCTTCGTAGGGAGGGATCGGCTGGTCCCCGAGACTGTTCTTCAGCCACGAAGAGACCTGTTACCGCAACAAAAGAGGAACAGTTTTTCTCCCCCCCTCCACAACCCGGGTTAGTTCTGCTCCCCGCTTTCGAATACATTTCAAAAGGTCAGTAGCTGCATTTTAGAAAGAAAGAGGAAGAGGACACCGAGATCGCTCCTGTTGCAAAGACCAGTCCTCCAGATCCCCACAAAGCCCCCAGCCTCGCAGGAGATTATTTGCTAAATATTGTGATGGTCCTATTGGAGCTGTAGGCCTATCCGCCCAGCTATGGGCTTTAAGCTGGGAAGAATTAGCCCAGACAGGAAACAGAGCCCGGGGGGACCTGCCCTTCCAGGAGAATCCCTCTGAACACCGCAGCATTTGATTTCTTGGAAACAGCCCCCGGACGGCCCCGGCCCCGCTCACCCTCCTCAGCTTCTCCTCCATTCTCGTTCGCTTCGCTCGCCTTGCAAACTTCGCGCTCCCCTTCTCGGTCTCCGACCAATGACCTCATCGGAAGCGGTGGCTCTTGGGAGTTGTAGGCCGGCGGCCGGGCTGCCCGCCTCAGTTAACCCCTGCAAGGGAAAGTAAAGGGAGAGGGAGAATCCTCTTGCAGCTTTAGTTCAAGGGCGGGGGGATTGGTCTGACGCGGAACAGAAGAGCTAAGGACGCTTCTTCGGGGAAAGGGCAAGCGAGCTGCCTGTCAAAGAGGCCATGTCAGAGAGATGCTGGATTTTAGACCTGGGAAGATCCGAGAGTTGTCTAGCCAGGGTTCCTCAACCTTGGCGACTTTAAGATGGGTGGACTTCAACTCCCCGAACTTCCCAGGCGGCGGGGGGGATTTTGGAGGTTGAAGACCCCCATCTTTAAGTCTCCCATGGTGGGGTAACCTCGGGTAGCCCCC